ATGCGCAGATGATTATGAATAAAATTCATCCATCTGCAATTAATCAGCCTCAAAGGACTTCGACAATTCGGTCAACAAACTTCGGTCTAAGAGATGCCCTGATTCAGTGGCGAGCAATCGCCTTCAATGATTGGCTAGTTTCTAAACAGTTGATATCCGTAAATGTTATCATTGATCAGAAGTAGCGCCATGCGCTGATCGATGTAGTTCTAAGGCCGACTTTAGAGTATCTTCATTGCAGCGACCGGATCACCACTTCGACGTTTCCGTTGTTACCTCTAGTCTAATTACCAAATGCAAATGTTTGTTTACCAGCAATTTACGGCACTATTGTTAATATCGTAAACATGACCATTAAGCTGGTTAATCTTGTGTGATAAGCAAAAGCGTGCAGATCAGATATCACTGACGGTGGCCACATACATGACTATTTCAGAATGACTCAGCAAGTTATTGTCTTACGAGTAAGTAATGACACTGCTTTAATTAGTAACGTCGAATATGATCCAAATATTTCAAAATCTAAATTAACGGCCCACTTCTTGTACTGGCTTGTAGCCAATTTTCAGGTGGGGCAAGGCGAACTGCAATTAACATGTTACTTTATGTCTTGCATTCCAATAACATCATGGTTTCCCCATAGCTTTGAGTTTATTGAAACTTGCTATGCATTTCTTAGCTGATTGCACTGAGGACAAATTTCTCGTTCAAGGGAATTAACTCTGAATAAGAAAAACATGCGGCACATATCTGTTTATAGTTTTACCCATAAATATACATTTTTGTTTTATTTTCATGAACTTCATGTTTCCTATGGAATGGCTCCGCTTGCATACTTTACTACACATCACAATTCACCGACGTTTGGAACGACATTCGGCACGTTTTAAAGGCAAAATTATACAAGCATGTGGTACAGCGGTACAAGTGGTATTTTGTTTTCAGTGATGTTTATTTCTTGTTCAGTTTGTACATGTTTTTATCTTTTTCTATCTACTCTGAAATGAAGGCTACTTCGGTGACTTTGTTTACTCTAGTGATTAGCATTTTCAAGGATTTTCCAACATTAAATCGTCGTCCATTGATTTTTGTGCGAATTTAGCAATCCAAAGAAACTTGACGCCGTGGTATACGCAGGCAAAGGTGGAAAAATGTTTACCCATGACACAATCCTGCTCTGTGACCATAATCCAGATTTTGCTGGAGTTTCCAGTTCTCTTCGCGCAAGTGATGAAACTCAACTAATCTTTCTACCTAAATAATATTTTTTTAAAAATCTTTACTGAACATATCATTCTATTGACATCTTTCCATTTGCAAGTGGAAGCATTTGGTAAGTTTGATCGCTTTGCTTAAAGAGTACAAAATTCCGGAAGAAACCTGGTCGTTACTGAACAAGATTGTATGGCGTATAAACTTTTCAAGTAAAAACTTTCCCATCTCTATATAAACTAAATTTTTTTCGTTGTACGTATGACTATTTGCGGAATAACATGTCAGTACTGAAACTTGACTTGACTAATTGGGGGAAGTGAACTTACGGAACATCAATTTATTGAAATCCAGATTTATTTCATTGTCAAAGATGACATGCTGAAAAACTTCGATGCCAGTAAAGAAACGACAAGCACACGCAACGCGACTCGACAACACCACCAACCGTCATGAATAACATCGTTCACGTATATCAAGCCAACTGCTCAACGAAACTGCAGCGGTACAGGTTTTCCGCCCCAGTGAACATGCACGAATACTTTTCATTTTCTTCTGACATTAAGTGCAGTATTGTAGGCAACTCTGAAAATGTACGAGATGAATACATGCATATAAAATGATGTAAAAACACAGGACCATTAATGAAATGTGATTCGTTAATACATGTTATTATTTATATTTGAAAGAATGGGCAGAACGAAATAGCTTTCATCCCTGAAACAGATTCTTGCATTGCAATTGTGCCATGCTGGTCAGAGATATGATGTGTTCTGCAACGAGTCTTAAAGCTTGAAATATTCATTTATTCAGATCTTAAGTTGTGCCGTTAAATCTGGTCTTGGAGGAATGTTTATATAGGAAATGCCAGCTCCTAAGACCCTTTTTTGACGAGCACGAGGTAGCTCGAACGGACAAAACGATGCAGATGCTCAAATACCATGAAACCTGAACTGCTTAAATAGCCCCTTAGGCAACCACGGTCAAAATGGTGGTCAATACGCCGCGAAATTTGGTCTTTGAAGAGTTATGCGTCATTTGTCATACGACGGGGTACGAACAACTCGTGATCTCTATTCAGATCTTGCCATTAGGCAGACGGATCTTAAAATTTTAATCGAATTCAGTCACAGCTGTTTAAGCATTCAAAGAAGTTTTCCTCTAAACCAGAGCCTCTTAAGTGTATCCGGAAATAACCCTCAGGAACCAGGAAATGAGGCTTTACTTGCCCCTGATTTTATCACTTTTTTGCCCTACTTGACGTTTCGTCTTTCTTCCGTTGGTCTTCAGAGACATACCGAACCGACAAAAGGCAGTGAGTTATTGCAAATACGGTGGGCAAGCCTATGCTAATCCATCATCGATTGTAATCCAGTGCTGTTTGCTTAACGCCATGCAAATTTCAAACAGCATGGCACGACGGTGTGTGAATATATCCGAGCCATGTCTACCTCCAGGCAAAGAGTGACACCGCCAATTAATGAGATTGGCTTTCATGTTCTGTCAAACAGTCACCCGTGCTGAAACATATGTTTTCAAGTTACGATTTCCTTTTCGGTTCATTCAAATTACGATAAATATTAGCATATTTTGAAGCTACCAAAGGTCTGAAAGTCATTCTTTACAGCAGTGATAGAATCGTCATTCCTCATCGTCGAATAAGTAGATCCCTTTCTTGCGAAACTTTTTTTTAACTCATCTTAAATACTGCAGCGCTGGGAATAGGTTGTTAAAAAATCTTCAAAATACGCCTATAGGATGCACGGGACACCTAAAAGATGAGTCCATTCTTTTCTGAGAGAGCAATTCTCAGTAGTCTCAAAGACTAAAAGAATTAGATTAACCCTGTTAGACCTGTTGGCACAATTACACCGCCAGTCTACCCTATGAGAATCAAAGCACCGAAAGTGTCGACCACCGCGTCAGCACGCAAATTGAGTGAACACAGACAGATCTGAGTTCAAAAGTGAAGTATTCTGTCAGTAATGCTGCAATCATCGGCTCCTTATGGCACAAGTGTAGGAAGCTGAAAATGGATCGTACGAGAGAGGCATTGTCATAAAGTAATGTTTGCGATTGTAATTCGAAATCTAAGTCTCCAAAGAGACTACTATTATCGATGACGATGGCACTTGTCACTGTTCATTGA